GGGTAGAGAAGCTGCCGAAATGCAGGCGCAGGTGGCTCAGATGCAGGTCCACGCCGCGCAAATGCAGGTGATGTGTGTGTGTTCTCTGTGTGTGTGGAAGGAAGCAAGGACGGGACTGAAACGCCCATGCACCCCTGGGAGGAACTCGCATGCCAACCCTAGGGGAACAAAAGTGGCGTAAACATGAAGACTCGGAGGTCCTCGCGGATTTCTGGGTTCGGCGGCGAGGCCCCCCGGCGGCGCCTCCGGCGCCGCCCCTGGCGCGCTCCGCGCGCCAGGGAGAGGGGTCCAGCGCCGATCCGAGAAATCCGCGCGGACCTCCGAGTTTGTATGTTTATGCCACTTTTTGTTCCCCTAAACCCCCGTCTGTGATGTATGTCGGCACGCCTCTCGCAAGTCCCCCTGTGCCCCATAGGGAGGGCTCCACCTGTGGCCCCAGGGGGGAAAACTCGGATGCCCCTCCGTTTTTGTTGAGGGTACACCCATCATACGGATCGTGCCCGACATGGAGCTCAGTGTGCATCTACGTGCAGCCCGCAGTCCGCATTGCTCTGAACTTCATCCTTCCCGTTGCGCACGGTATCGAAGACGCCTACGGCGAATCACCGCCGCCCCCTGCCTTTTTGGAAGCGCCTATGTGGCCGAACGTTGAGGTCAGACCTGCCAAGCTATCGGACCATGTGTTCCCCGAATCGGTTTGGAAAGCCTTCGGGGAACACGTGGTCATCTTGAAGGTTATCTTGGCCGCCTGGAGGCCATTTTGACCCTTTCGGGCCTTCTTTGAGGACGTCTTGGAGTGCTCTTGGGCCGTCTTGGAGGCCACCTAGAGCGTCTTGGAGGCCTCTTGGGCCGTCTTGGGGGCCTCTTGGGCCGTCTTGGGGGCCTCTCGGGGCCGTCACTGATCAACCAGACTGTTGCGTTCTGACGATCCGGAATCGTGCCAGAACGCAATTCCTGGGACTTCAACACAGCGAATCAACGTAATTGTTGCACCCTCATAATCTTGAACCTCTCCAAAACACCATGTCTGATACGTTGGCCATGGGAATCCGCGAAACTCTTGCAATTTATAACAAGGAATGTGCGCGGCGCTCAGGCGACAGCCACATTTTGAAAACGAGCCGCCTTCAATCCATGAAACCCTTGCATTTGTTAATCGAATGCGCGCGGCGCTAAGGCGAGGGACACAGGTTGAAAACGAACCGCCCTCAAACCGTGAAACTCCTGCAATGTATTAATCGAATGTGCGGGGCGCTCAGGCGAGAGCCACTTTTTTGAAAACGACCCTCCCTCCGTCTGTGAAGCTTTTGCCAATTCTTCACGCTTCGGGTATCCGCACCAGCCCATTCAGAAACAATTTGCCAGGCGAGTTGAAGCGTTTTTGTGAGAAGTTCTCGGGGGTCTCCTGGAGCCATCTTGGGGCTTTCTGGAGGCCCTCTTGGGGCCCTCTTGGGGCTCTTTTGGGGCTCTTTGGGGGCCCTTTGGGCGGCGGCTCTGAGAGGTCTCTTGGGGCCGTCTTGGCACCCGTAGCTCAATAGGGAGGGGTCCTCTTTTCAGGTCCCCCCCTCGGAGGCTCAAACATTGCCTCTTGGGGCCTTCTTGGGGCGCTCTTGGGGTGCTCTTGGGCGTTCTTGGAGCCTTCTTGGGGCCCTCTTGGGCCCCTCTTGGGGCTCTCTTGGGCCGTCTTGGGACCATCTTCAGGCCTCGGAAGCCCATCAGAAGCGCAAAGGCCAGAACGCAACAATCAGTGATTATCCAGAGATTTTGGGGCCATCTTCAGGTGAATGGGTCGAGCTGTCCATGCGTCTTTCCCCTCTTGGGGCCTTCTTGGGGTCGTCCTGGGGGGCTCTTGGGCTCGTGTTGGGGGCCTCTTGGGCCGTCGTTGGGCTCTCTTGGGGGCTTCATGTGCCGTCGGCCGTCTTGGGGACGTCTTGGAGCGCTGAAAGCAAGAAAAGGCGAGAACCTTTGAATCCTTCAGACACATAAAACAAAACAATGATTTGTGCCTCTTGGGGTCCCCTCGGGGTGTTTTATTAGAGCCTTATTGAGGCGTCACTCTTGGGCCGTATTGATGCCATCTTGGGCAGTCTTGGACGTTCTTGCGTGTCTCTTGGGGCCTTGGTCGTGCGTCCTGCGGCCCCAAGAGGCACGCGACAAGCCCCAGGAGCGCCCAAGAACGCTCAGAACTCGGGGCTGTGGGTAACGAGTATGTATAGTCCCGAATGCCGAGGACTCCAAGGACCCTGAGGAAAGTCCGCTTCACTTCATGGCTCGAGTGACGATGGCGGATACATATACCTACGAGATCACCCTTTGAGTAAAAACGAGGTTGGGGAATGGGCACAGCTTTCGGTTTGCGATTGGTGTCGGATCGTATCCGTCATAACTCTATCTACCGATCGCGAGGTGCCACTATTCATCCATCGGCCACACCGATCAACATGTGATTCGATTATCATCTATCGACCTCACCGTCACCGTACCTGCCTGCCTCATTGTCTTTCCATCGGTTCCCACCACGCGGCGACCGTGGGGTAATCACGGGCGACCCCTGGCGTACAGTCGGGCCTGTCCCATCGACAGGAGGAAGATGCAAATACAGGAGATAAAAAAAACAACATAGTCTGGGGACGATGTTTGGGGTATTTTTGTTTGGCATTTGTTGGGCTGCCCGACCGAAAACCCTGGCGCCCACCACCAGGCGCTCGGCCGCGGCGGCAGCGCGCCCGCCGCACGGCGGCGGGCTCGGCGCGCCCGCGCGGCGCAGCGCGGCCCCGCACGCCGGCGCCGGCGGCTGCGCGTGGCGGCGGCGGCGGCGGCGGCGGGCGGCGGCGGCGGCGGCGGCGCGGCGGCTGCAGCGCGCTGCCGCCCGTCGGAGGGGCCCGGCACGCGCGCACGCGCGCGGGGGCGAGGCGTGGAGGTGCGCGCAGAGGGTGTAGGGGAACAGAAAGTGGCATAAGCATAAAAACTCAGAGGTCCGCGCGGATTTCTCGGATCGGCGCTGGGGCCCCCCGGCGGCGCCTCCGGCGTCGCCCCTGGCGCGTTCTGCGCGCCAGGGAGGGGGGTCCAGCGCCGATCCGAGAAATCCGCGCGGACTTCCGAGTCTTTATGCTTATGACACTTTTTGTTCCCCTAGGGTGGGCGACCGGGGGGGTGGTCGTGGGCGGGCGGCGGGCAGCACGTGGCGCTGTCGGTGGGGAGGTGGCTCGCGCTCTTGGGGGGAGCGCCGCGCCAGAGGAGGAGCACATGTGCCCCTGGCGCTGCCCTGCCCTCGTGTTCCCTCTTCGGGCCTCCTGGGAGGCCTTTGTCGCCACCGCTGGATTCGCCTTGGAATTCTGGTCAGAACGCACCCCAGGAGAGGTCCGGGGAGTAGCCTTAGCGGGATCGGTACCGTATGGCCTTCCCATCACGGCAGGGTGCGGCTTGAGAAACTTGCTGGGGTGGACCTCGGGAGGGGTCTGGGGGCGCTCTTTCAGTGGACTCCTGTGGGTCGAGACGACTGGCATCCTCTCGAAGATGGCACGAGGCTTCCTGGAAACGGGGCGGGGGCTCCTTCGGTCGAACGGCACCAGCCCATGTTTTTGGACACCCGAAATGGGTACCGAAAGAATGGGTACAATGCCCAACAGCAAATGTTGTCCCAAACCAACAGCGGCCGCTGTTGGGCAGGCGTCCTTCTGTCTCAAATGGACACAGGCCGCGGCGGCGCGGACAGCGAGTCCTGTTCAAAATGAACAAGATCCGCTGTTGGGCATGGTACCCATTCTTTCAGTACCCATTCCGTGCGTGCCGAATGTTTGCCAGGTGCTGAGGCTTTTGACCGTCGGCTGACAAGAAGCAGAAGGCGCCGCGTGCCGCCGATGCCCGGCTCAAGACGCAAACGTGACCCCATCTGCAATCTGGAAGCCCTCGTGAAATCTCTGGGGAAACTGCAGCGGCAGCAAGAGCGACTGCGTCGTAGAAGGGTGTCCGGGGTCACTCGGCCTCAACAGGCGACCGAGCACACCGAACCAGCACAGCATTGCGGACACGACGACGACGATGACGCAGATGATGAAGAAGCCGACTGCGACGATCACGCGGAGTGAATAGGGTGTGAGTCGGGCCAGAACGGAGTGATTCCCCATCCACTGTGTTTGTGGGGCGGAGTGTTTATCTCAGACCGTGAATTACCTACACCGCTTTCGCTTCCAGGCAAAACCAAGCCATACCACGCGCCTCCTTGTCAAGCGGTCTGATCAGTACAGGCTGCAATTTGGCATCGTTTGGTATCTCTTGGAAGCGAGGGTGGTCAAAAGCGAGGGAGGTTTGTTTGCCCCCTATCATTATCATCCTGTCACATATCGTATTGTATTATTCCAGGGTGCGAGCCCCGGGGCTCGGAACCGCAGCCGGACCGGAAAGCGCTCGCTAGAAGAGTCTGCGGGGGGCGGGGGGGTCTCGGCGGAGGACCTGCTTCAGGAGGGGGAAACACACACAGACACATTTCATCGTGGACTCCCCCGAAAATATGGGAAAATATGGGAAACCGGGGGGGGAAGACAGACATCCAGAGCATATGGGAAAATATGGGGGATCCTTTTGTATTTGTGTGTATCTATCCGTGTGTCCTTGGGCCCCTTTGACATGTTGCGGTTCAAACTATAGCACCGCACGTGTCAGACGCGGGGCCCGACCCCACCCGTGGGCCCAGGCGTCGTCGTGCCTGCGCCTCCCTGGCCAAAAGGCCCGGCCCGGCTCGGCGGCGGTGGGCCGTCGCCGCTGCGCTCCCTTCTCCCTCTGGGAGTCCGCGCGGCGCGCGGCGCCCGCCGCCGAGCACGCCTGTGGCGGCCCAGCACACTTTACCAGCCTCGAACGTATCGCTACCCCTAAGATTGACACGCCAAAAGGCGATGACAATCGTAGGGATGCGCCCTCGAAAAATAAGCGAATCCCTAAGAGTGGCATCGTGATGAGGAGGTGCCCAGCATAGGGGTAGGGATATGTTCCAGGCCGGTAAACGCTGGGAGGGTGCCGCGCGCGTGATCGCCGGAGCCCCCTTGCCTCCCGGCAGCCGAGGTGGCTGCACGGCCGCGCCGCGGCCGCCTCGCCGAGGAGCGGGGTGCGGGGGCGCAGGGGAGCGCAGGGGGGCGGGGGCGGTGGGGGAGGGGCGGGACTCGGACGATCCAGGGGGGGCGACGGGGGGGAAATAGGGGGGGGGCTACGAGACTTAAGCTGCGCGCAGCTGGCTGCGGCCCCGCCGCCGGACGCATTCCTCGATATACGTTGGCGCCTCTGGCGCCGGGAGGCGCCGGAAAGACCAGCTGCGCGAGCGCTGCTTTTCCCACCTCCTCGTCCGATCCGAGGCGAGAGGACGGTGCGGTCGGCTCCCCCCAGACTCGTTCGCGCGCCGCAAGAAGAGTGCGGGCGGAAGGTCTGAGGCTGTTGTCTGCCTCTGGGGGCCCTCGCCGGGCCCCACGTCCCTCCTCGAAATCCAACGCAAGCCTTTCCCGCGATGTGGCGGCGCCCCAGGACCCCAAACTTTCGATATATGCACTTCGAGACTGGCGACTGGAAGCACGAAATTAAACTCTGACGCCTTTCGCGCGTCGGTCAACATTGCAAGGTTGCGTTTGATTTTGAGGAGGGTTGCAGGACCGTGACAAGGACGATTCAGGATGAAAACTGGTCCTGGTGAAAGGTCGGGGCTTCTGGGGACCCCGCAATGAAAACGCCAGGATGTCGCAGGTCCGTGATATCGATTGGCAACTACACAGACCCACCTCGTTTCTCCCCCTTTTCCCTCCTCATGGAGAGGCGGAACAGCATCCTCACGAAGGACCCAACCATAGGCAAGGGCGAGTACCGCGGGGCAGGTGGGACGCAGGAGGGGGGAGTTCCTTTGTGAGGTCACGGAACGTGTGAGGGGTGTGCCGAAATGGGAGGGGAAATGAATGCGGACTTTGTCCATGGGCCTTCAGTGGAGCTCCCTGCGGGGCCCGAAATGGGCGTTCCGAAATGGGAGGGGGGATGCATGCGAACACTGACGCAGGAGCCTTCGGCGGAGCTGCCCCTGCCACAGGAGCCTTCGGTGGGGCTCCCTGCGGGGCCACGAAACGTGAGTGGGGTGTGCCAACGTGGGGTAGGGCCGCCATGAGGGCGCTGCTACTGGGGCCTTCCGTGGAGCTCCCGGTGGGGCCACGAAACGTGTGAGGGGTGTGCTGGAGGGGCGGGGCCGCCATGCTGGCGCTGCCTCTGGGACCTTTGGTGGAGCTCCTTATGTAGCCATGAAAAGTGTGAGGGGTGTGACGGAGAGGGGCGGTGCCGCCATTCGGGCGCTGCCATTGGGGCAGGTAGAGCTCCGTTCGGGGCGACGGAACGTGTGAGGGGTATGCCACAATGGGGCGGGGCCGCCGTGCGGGCGGTGCCACCAGGGCGTGGAGAGCTTCCCTCTGGGGCCACGAAACCTGTGTGGGGTATGCCAAAATCTGTGAGGGGCCGCCATGCGGGCGCTGCCGTTGGGGCCTTCGGTGGAGCTCCCTCTGGGGCCACGGAGCGTGAGCGTGTGAGGGGTGTGCTAACACGGGCGGGAACATGAATGCGGACTCTGCCACTGGAGCCTTCAGTGGAGCTCCCTGCGGGGCCCCGAAGCGTGTCAGGGGTGTTCCGAAATAGGAGGGGGAACGCAAGGAAAGCCTGCCAGAGGAACCTTCGGCGGAGCTGCCCCTGCCACAGGAGCCTTCGGTGGGGCTCCCTGTGGGGCCACGAAACGCGTGAGAGGTGTGCCGGAGAGTGGCGGTGTCGCCATACGGGCGCTGCCATCTGCCATTGGGGGCTTCGGTGGAGCTTCCCTTGGGGCCACGAAGCGTGTGATGGGTGTGCCGAAATGGGTGCGGGGCCGCCATGCGGGCGCTGCCACTGGGGCCTTTGGTGGAGCTTCCCTGTGGGGCCACGGAACGTGTGAGGGGTATACCAACATGGGGCGGGGCCGCCATGCGGACGGTGCTACTGGGCCCTTAGGTGGAGCCCCGTATGGAGCCACGAAACGTGTGAGGGGCATGCCAACATGGGCTGGGGCCGCCATGCGGGCGCTGCCATTGGGGCCTTCGGTGGAGCTTCCCTTGGGGCCACGAAGCGTGTGAGGGGTATGCCGAATTTGTTGCGGGGCCGCCATGCGGGCGCTGCCACTGGGCCTCCGGCGGAGATCCCAATCTGGTCACGAAGCGTGCGTGGGGCGTGCTGAAATGGACATGCGGAGGTCAGAGGCAGGGATGGGAGAATGGAGGGAGGGAGCAGCGGGAGGAGTGATGACGCGGGGCGCTGTCTTTTCAAAACGAGGGCCCAACTTCACAGCATGGTTTGGTTAGAAAAGGAGGGGGTAAGGAGGCGCAAGGGGGACATTGTTCTTCACTGTGACTGCGCTTGTTGGGCCGAGCAAACTGGTGGCAGGCTGCTTTCAGAGCTCGACGTTCGAGCAGCAGCACCCCAACAGTAAGCAGATGGCTGCTTCTCGATAGCTCCTGAGGAAGTCGCATTCTGAGCCCAGTTCGTCGAAAGCACTGCTCGGTAGACTTGCTGTCCCAGCTCGCGCAGGAAGGAGGTGGACCTGCGTAAAAGCTCGATTCCTGTGTAGTGTTGCTGTCGCTTGGTAGACTTCGACGGAGGCGGACCCTCGTAAATGTTCGATTTTTGCGTTGTGCTCCTGTCGCTTGGTAAACTTGCTGCCCTGGCTTGCGCAGGAAGGAGGTGTAGCTTCGTAGCTGCTTGATCCCAACGTAGTACCCATGTCGATTGGTAGACTTGCTGTCCCAGCTCGCACAGGACGGAGATGGACCTGCGTAACTGTTCGATTCTTGTGCAGTGCCCCTGTCGCTTGGTGGATTTGCTGTCCCAGCTCGCACAGGCAGGAGGTGGCATTGCGCAAGTGTTCGATTTCTGCTCAGCGCTCCTGTCGCTTGGTAGACTTGTTGCCCCAGCTCGCGCAGGAAGGAGGTGGACCGTCAATTCTGTTCGTCTAGGCCTCCTAGATGGGGTCCGAGTGGACGAGGTCGGAGGATCTCGCCGCATCGCCGATGCATCGGCGATGCGGCTCGCTGCGGAGCCCAGCTTTCTCCACGCCGACGGCGCCGATGCCTTGCCGACGTCGCCGATGCATCGCCGATGCATCGCCGATGCATCGGCCGTGTGTCGCCGCTGTGTCGGCGATGCGGTGCGATCCTCGTTTCCCATCTAGGAGGCCTCCAGTTCGATTCTTGCGCAGTGCCCCGTGCGGCCGCCGAGGAGGAGGAGGAGGAGGAGGAGGAGGAGGAGGAGGAGGAGGAGGAGAGAAGGGGGAGGAGGAGGGGGAGGGGGGAGGAGGGGGAGGGGGGGAGGAGGAGGAGGAGGAGGAGGAGGAGGAGGAGGAGGAGGAGGAGGAGGAGGAGGGGAGGAGGAGGGGGAGGAGGAGGGCATCTAGGAGGCCTCCAGGGTCCGCCGACCGCCCCGTGCGGCCTGCCGGGCGGCGCCGCCTTCCGACGCCCCACCCCTCCCCCCAGCCCTCGCGCGGAGCTCCGGGCCGCGCTCCTCCTCCCCTCCTCTCCTCCTCTCCCTTCTCCCCTCCTCCCTCCTCTCCTCCCTCTCCTTCCCTCCCTCCCTCCCTCCTCTCTCCGTCCCGCGTCCCGCGTGCCTCGTCCTGTCGACGAGACGTAAGAGTGACCTTTCGCCAGAGTGATCTTCTGGTGCGGGCACAGATTGGCGGCCACTTCCAACGAGGGCCAATTCCAACGAGGGCCCGCACTGGATTCACTAATCCCTCCAAACTGCGTAAGGACCCTGTCCTCTGTACCCCCGCCCGATACAACTGCTTCAGAACGGAGGGACAGTGGATTCCAAGATGGGCCCTCGGATGGCCGAAAGCGACGCGGTAGCAGCGGCTTGCGCGCCCAGGTTTGGTCTCCCCCGCGCCCCCCAAAAAGCCGCGCACCAGAGGTCACTCTTACCCAGGGTCGCTCTTGCGTGTAGCCGATGGTCCACGTCCCGCGTCCCTCGTCCCTCGGCCTGTCTCCTCCCCCAGTCCTCTTCCCTGTGAGCGCACGTTGTTCATGGCTAAGTCTTCGACAAGTCTTTTTGATTTTGGGGGGGGCCAGAATCCTTGCATGTCTGATGGTTCTGTCCTGCGCCTCTTCCTGGCCACAGGGGGGGGGCCAGGAACAGTGAGAAACGAGCACAACTAGCAATGAGCACGATCAGAAATGGACGACGTGTACCGGGGGCGTGCGAAAACATGACCGCGACGACGAGAGCAAAGCCGTCAGCCGTGGACTCCCCCCTGTCCGACCCCCCCCCCGCCCCCCCCCCCCGTTGCGCAAAGCCGGCCCGCGGGCCGGGCGGCGCAGTCCGCGCCTGCATCCAGCTGTGCACAACGGGGCGCGGGGGGGGGGGTTTGGGGCGAGGGGCGCGGCGCGCCGCGCGCTGGTTTCGCGCTCGACTCCTTGCGCGTTCCGAGATGGAACCGGAGCCAAAGAGCAGCCCGCGCGGACTTTGCAGGCGCGTCTTTGTGCGTAGTCGCTCGCGTAGATGGTAGTTTCTGTTCGCACGCACCGGTACCTCCCCCTGTCCCATCCGAGGCCAGTCGGAACGGCGGGCCGGGCGTTTCGCCCGAGACTTCTTCACCACTTGCGAGCCAGAAGCTGCGGAGCTGGCAACAGCTTCACAGATGGAGGGCGGGTGGTTCTCAAAGTGTGATTCTCGCTTCAACGTCGAGCACATTCGTATTCACAAATGGCAAACGATTCCAGGATGGAAGGCGGGTTGTTTTCAAAATGTGGCTCTCGCTTCAGCGCCGCGAACATTCGAATCCATAATTTGCCAGTGCTTCACGAATGGAGGCCTGGTGGTTTTCAAAATGCGGCTCTCGCTTCAGCGCCACGCGCACTCGTTGTAACAACTTGCAAGGACTTCGCGGATTGAGGGCGGGTCGGTGTCAAATTGTGGCTGCCGCGTTGGCGCCGCGCTCATTCGTTGTAAATATGTGCAAGAGTTGCCCAGATTGGGAGGTGTTCCTTTTTCAAAGTTGATGCTCTCGCCTCAACGCCGCGCACATACGTTTCAAAAAAATGGTATGGCGAAGGACCCACCCATATGCACTTGTGAAAACCGTTGTTTCGCGTATCGGTTCTGGGGGATCTCCTCATGGGACCATGAAGCATGCGAAGTGTGTGCCGATGTGGGGCGGGGCCGCCATGTGGGCGCTGTCACGGGTTTTCTGCGCGGAACCCGCTATGGGGCCGCGAAGCGTGTGAGAGGTGCGCCGCGCAATGGGGCGGGGCCGCACCTCTTGGACGCCCCCGATTCGACGCCACTGTCGGAGTCGCCATTCTCGTCGCGCCAACGGGCGAGGTGAGCCAACCACAGCGCATTAAAGCGCCTGTTGCGCTCCAGATGTCAGGCCTGTCGCCCCCAATGGGCAGCCACTGGCGCGTTTGACGCTTCCAACGCAGACCTGTCCATCACTTGAACACGTCAGGCCTGACGGTGTTCAACGTGGGGTGTGCTGCAACATGTGAATTGGCAGGCGCGGCTTGGACAGCGATGGTTCCGCCACAGCACATGCAACGAACAAGCCTGAAGTCGCCAGCATTTTCTACGCACATCACAAAGTATTGGGCACCAGTCGGATCCAAACGAAATGTTGCGGCATTCGGTGGCCGGTTCCCCCCAAAAAAACAGCCACCTGGTCACCTGTTATACGACATCCCTTGCGTTTCATAATATGGCGGTTCGTTCCCCACCTGACAGTTACACTTCGGGGTCGTTAGATTTTCAGAACGGACCTCCCGGCCCACCCACCCTGCATACCGCGGCCACCAAATCCACAGGTTCATCGAGAATCCCACGAGACCCCGCCTCGCGCCAACCCGCCCGCCCTGCCTACCGCGGCCGCCTGATCCCCAGGTCCACCAAGAATTCCCCAAGACTCCCGCCTCGCCCCGTCGACGAACACGACAGAACCTGACAAACTGAAAATATGACCACATATCAGATGCTAATATAATTTAGCACTGCGTAACAGAGTTTAACACGCCACATCACAATGCAAGATAACATAGTTGAGCATGGCGATGCACATGAACACATCACAAAACACACCATCACCCAGCATCTCATAACAGACTGCTGCATGCCATAGCAAGCTTTACCATGGCAGAGCGCGGCATACTCCATTTTACATGATGAACAGAACACTTCCTCGCATAATGCAATAACAGGATATGTCATTCCATCACGAAGCATGGCAAGACAGAGCATTACATAACACAACATAGCAACGCATGCAATGACAAAGCTGCTCAGACGTAACACATTTTATGTTTCTACAACCTAGCATTATACATGTACCATGCCAACTCTTCGTCGCCATTTTGGTTCAATATGGCGGGGAATGGGCAACAGCTCGAGTCCACGGGGCTTTTGCTCGCCGTCTCTCCCGTCACAAGCAAAAGTTCGACTTCTCGCGCGCCCTGGGCGCACAGTGATCCTCGTCCGTAGGTCCCTGCTCGTCTTCAGTTGCAGCCCCACCTGAGCAGGGGATGATTCTCCTGAGTGCCGATGCTCCCCGCAGCTGGGCGCCTGGCGGCGGCAGTGGCGGGCGCAAGCGTTACTTCCAGTGCTGTTTCGTTTGCAAGTCCTGGCGGCGCCGAGGTGGCAGGTGCAGGCGGTGGCGACCCGCTGCAGCAGCCCGGTGCAGACCCATGGCTTAGCAAGCGTGCCCGAGCGGAGGATGGCGCTCCTCTACCTCGCACGCCCCGTACCTCTGACGACGGCCAGCCCATCGACCCCATGGTGGCACTCAACGCAGCGATCGCGGCCTCCCAGTAGTTCCTCACGAAGCAGCTGGATGCCAAGCTGGCATTGGTCAAGGCAGAGGTCATTGCCAACCTCGGAGAGCAGCTCAAAGGTCCCCTCGGCGCCGTGGCCCCCCAGCAGTGCGCACAAAACGAGCAGCTCCGTGGTGACATTCACTCCCTGCAGGCCACCACGCAAAGTCTCGAGGACAGCAACAGGAATATCTGGGGGCAGATGGCCGAGCTGCGACGTCAGCTACACACGCAGGAGGCTGAGGTCCCGATCGAAGCCTACGAGAACCGATTCGAGTGGGACCGCGACGCCGACGCCAGCATCATCGTGGGCATGGCGGCGGGGAGCTTCACGACCGAACAGTTCAAAGCGAGCGTACAGCCAATCATTGAAAGTTGCGAGCTCGAGGGCGGCCAGTGGGATGCTCGCGGTCGCAGCCCCGCGACACGATTCGTGCTCCAGTTCTCGGGTGGTGCCAGCGCGGCCGCGCGCAAGGTCTGGACATTCTACAGCAAGCTCAAACAGGCCGACAGCAACTGGATCAGCACCGAGGTCCGCAGTGTCCACGGCCAGACCTCCAGGCCCTAACTCGGCCTCGACCGCTCTGCGGAATCGGCGCGCAGAGAGCCGGGAAGCTCGCTCCATTTTGGCGAGAGGTCGCCCCTGGCCTTAGATGGCGCGCTGATCGTCAGCAGGGCATCCTCTACTTCAACAACATGCCAGTGGTCTCTGTGATGGTGGGAGCCACCCGCGATCTTCTCTTACATGCTATTTGCCAAACAGGCGCCGGCCTCAATGGCGAATTCCGACGCGCGGAACTCGCGCCTGGCCGAGTTCGACGGTTTCGCATCAAGATCGACTCCGACGGGGATACGCTGCCCCCCATGGTTCTCGTCTACAGCATCCACAACTTCAGGCTTACCGAGCAGCAGGTCCGCTGGGTCACTGCATCGCTACCCGCCGAGCTTTCGGTGGCGGAAGCCCAACCAGATCGCATCCCGATCGTAATCATGGGCGACTTCAACTTCATGGATGCGGCACTGTTGCAGAATCAGACGCCCCTCATCAACGAAGGCCGCCTTCCCCGACTCCGTCGGCGCAATCCTCAACGTCAGCTCCCGTGGGAACCGGCGGGAACGACCATGGCGGAGATCGACCCCGAGATACCGACTCACTACTCTGAACAGTCGCAGCAGCGCACTTCCATCGACAGGGTTTACATCGGCATGCCGCCCTGGATGCTCATCTAGCGGCGCGCGCGCTGACCTGCCCGCGCAGCCAGATCGGCCCGCCGCCCAGACAAACGCCTGGGCGCTCAACCCGTGCCGCAGTATTCTTTGAGCATCCACTCTTCGGGTCCTATGTGAAGCTGGTCGCAGACCACCTACAATGGCGTGGCCGTCCGCCCTTCCTCCGGCGCAAAGAAATCAAACGCCTCCAGCGCGAAGCTGCTAGATTGATGGGAGACGACTTCACCAATGCGCGGGCCCCGTGCACTGCGGTGGCCCTCGCCGCTTGCCGGGCGATCTCAAGTGGGCCGTCTGGACGAATGACTTCAATGCCGCTCGGACGCCCCATGCTCGGACAGCGCTGGGCGCGGGGCATCTAGGCACCTCCGACAAGGACGACGTCGCAGCGAAGGACGCGGTGGCGCCCAGGCGGCAGCTCGAAGGACTGCAGCGCGAATTCCAAGACCAACGGTTGGAAGCCATTCAGGCAGAAGGCAATGCCCAGTCCACCCCCAAGAAGGAACGCCGACGCTTGCGCAATATGGATCGCTCGCCCCAGCGCCGCGGCAATGGGCCCCCTCGGGCAAGATGCCCCAGCTCAAGGCCATCGGTGCACTTCAGGACCATTCCGCCACGTCTTCCCCCCCCGAGATGATCGCTGATCTCCGAAGGCAGTGGGCTTCAGTATCCCAGGCCAAGCCGAGCGACGCGAACAACGTGCAGTGCTACTTGGAGAAGCACGGCACCCCCTATGACTGCGTGGAAATGGACATGTCCACCCTAGGCAATCTGCAGCACCTGATCAAGCAACTGAACAACTCGGCGCCTGGCCCTGACGGACTTCCCCATGGCATGGGAGAAGACACCGCAGGCTGCGCAGATCCTCCTCAATGTCACTATCGAGATCATGAAAGGCCCCCCTGCGCCTCCAAACTTCAATGGATCACTGCTGGTCTTCGCGCCGAAAGGCAAGGAACCTGAAGACTGCCAGACCGCGACAAGTCCGGCGAAGGTGGCCCGCCCGCTCTCTTTGGAGGACACCGGCTACAAGATCGCGGCGGCTATGAGCAACGCACGAATGAAGTCAATCATTGCGAAGTCGGCGCGCCGCGCGCAGAAAGGCTCCCTCCCCGACGCGCAATGCGTCGAGCTCGCGGTGACGATGGGCGCCCGAGACCGCATTGCCGCCATGGCACTCAAAGCACTGGAGAGCGACCCACTCATGATGACGTTTGGCTCCGGCGATGCGTTCCCGTCGACGTGCCGCGACTTCCTCCCTCAAGTGCTCCGGCATGGCGGCTGCCCCCGTAGTGTCCTCAACGTGGTCGACGCAATCTACGTGTCCCCGCTGGCGTGGATCAACCTGAGTGGCACGATGCAGGTTTTCTGCCGACTCGCCTCTAGCATCCAGCAGGGATGCCCCATTGTCTGGGGCGTTCTGGGCGGCCGGCATGGACCCCATCATCGAGGACCTCTTCCACCGCGCGCGCCGCCTCAAGCGGAGGGTCGGCGGAATCTGCGCCGGCGACGCGGGCGCGGCCCTTCCCTCGATGCAAATGTCCCGCCCACTGAGCAGTACATTCTATGCTGCGAAGCACCTGGCGCGCCTGGCCCTCGAGGCGCTCGCGCGTCAGATGGCCCCGCCGGCGGCGGTGCACTCCACTTACCTAGAGACGCGGGTCCAGACGAAGCTGGCCAAGCTGGCGCCGCGCTGGGCCAACGCGCAGGTTGCGCCAACTGCGAAGTACCTCGGAGCGTTGCTTGGCCCCTCAGTTACGAGCGACGCGCGCTGGAAGAAGGCGGTGGCAGGTTGCAAGCACATGCAACCAAGGGGCGGTGACGAAAGCATCTTACTTTGGACAGGTGCTAGATTGGCCCAGCACGCTGCGTCGCCAAAGGCCATGGGTTCTTCATCGGCCGCGGCATCTTCCTCCTCAAACGTTCCGCCGCGAAGATCTTCTAGCGCTGGGGCAATGGCCACCTCTCAAAGCGCACGCCATGGAGATCATGAGCTGGGCCACCCTCATGCGGGGCGCGAAGGATGCCATCAGGAACTGGGGCCTCTGGCTGCGGCGCCTCCAGAGCAGTGGGGCGCCTCTCGCTGGCCCAGCTGGCGAAGCCTGATCTTCTGGCGCCGTCGCGCAGGAAGGAGGCGCCCATGGTCACTGCGCTGCAACAGGCTGCATGCGGATTCAAGCATCTGGGCAGCCAGAACCCGACGGCCACGGTCGGCGCGAACGAACTGAGCGCATGGCGCGCGGAGAAGGCCAACATACTAGCCAGCAAGCCGTCGGCTCGCCTCCGCATGCAAAGATCCTTTCCGCGCCCGCCTCGCTGCTTCGCTCCTTCAGCCCTCCCTCATCCCGACCTGCCTCTCCCGATTCCAGTCTTGAGTTCTTGTGGGCATTGTTGTTCGCAAGAGCCAAGTCGACTGGGGCTCGACCCTGAGCTTGGTCAAGACTATTCCCTCTCGCTTGCCAGTCGGCCCTTCTAAAAACCTGGGCTGGTGGATGGGCGACAAGTCGTCGACCCCGCCGTGCGGGGAAGGACCAGGCATGTGTTTCCGGCTGCCACAGCTGCGAGAAGTCGAGAGCCATCGACGTTATGTCCCACTGCTCGTGCTGCCCACATGTGGTTCGCGGTTTGCTCCGCCTGGCACAATAGGACCCTTGCCCCGAGTGTCGGACCACACGCTTTGCCCTTCCTTGGAGAAAATCCGGGTGATCTCAGGATGGCTCTAGAGCGCGTCGTACTCCGTTTCCATATGTACAACATGCAGGCCCACCCCCCGAAGGAGCAATGGGCCAGGCCAGAATCTGCGCTGGCCAGCGCACGTGCTGCCCGAGTGCTCAAACTCACTACATGTGCGCCAGCATAGCTGATTGGCTGGCGCCTTCATATACGAGTGACTTACCATGCCAACCCATGCTATAGCATGGCAGGGGAGAACCTAACATAGCACAACACCACATCAACTAGCATTCAATACCATGACAAATCGTACCATGACAGAGAGTGGCATCCAATACTGTACAGTATCAGGGCATACTAAAGCATAACACCATCACAGAGCAAACCATCACACAACATAGCAGAACGGATACTACCATAGCGCAGCATAACCACGCACGCGAGGAAAGAGCGGATCATACAGGACACGGCAGGGCACAGCACACCATAACACAACATAGCATATCATGACAGACCGTACCACGAGCTAATATAGCACCACGTAACCAGAATATGGCATAACATAGCACCACCCAAATACAGCATCACAGCACCTATCGCTTCAACCCGTGACAAGGCATACCAGAACAGAGCGCGGCATACCACATTATGAACTAGGAGAACATCGCATAGCATAGCATAGCATATCATATCATATCATTTCATTGCATATAATTACATGCCTTGACGGAACAGGCCACGACGTAAAGCCGCATCGGATATCGCGTAGCACAACATCGCAAACCATGACGTAGTGGTGCATCGATTAGTATAGCATAACAGGTCATAACAGAGGGTGCCAGCAGTGTTTCACGATTTCTGCCACACCGGCAACGGATGTATTATAACATCATAGGCCACATCATCCTGCAGGGGAGCATCATGTCATCACAGACCATATCATCATACATTGAACTGATCACAACGTCACCAGCGTAACATAACGTACGTTTTACACGATTGCTACCAGTACGCCCGCGAGCTAGGTATAACATCATAGATAATAGTTCCATGCGCGAAGTATGCCATAACTGATCAACTCATACTATAGTATAATGAACTGGCCATCGCGTAAACAGTATCACCTGGGATACGTTGTCCTTGCCGGTTATCTGGTCCAGCCGCGCCCCCCGTTCACCCCGGGATAACGTGACTTTATCTTTAATATGTGCCGCCCGCGCCCCCCACAGATGACCCCACCTTCCCCCGCCCCCGCCCCCCCGGATTATCTGGGCAATCGCCAAACAAACAGGAACGACGTCCAGCGTCTCGACCAAACAGCCTGGACGGGTGCTCTTCGTCATCCTCGCCACCCCTCTGGCACTCTGGGCCTCCTAGATGGGGTCGGAGGATCGCGCCGCTTCGCCGATGCATCGGCGTTACGGCTCGATATGGAGCCTGCTTCATGTCGACGTCGCTGATGCATCGCCGACGTCGACGATGCATCGCCGGTGCATCATCGATGCATCGTCGATGCATCGCCGATGTATCGGCGATGCGGCCCGATCCTCCGACCCCATCTACTCGGACCCCATCTGGGAGGCCTCGAATGTCATGGGCCTCCTTCTGGCACCCAGGGCCGCCAGGCCGAGCCCACGATCTGGGGTGGAATCGCGGCACCGGTCCCCGGGCGTGGGATCAGCAGCTGCAGGGGCCGCGCATGTCGGGGGCGGAAAAGAGGGGGGTGATGACT